GCAGGATCTTAGCGCCCACGAGGGATTGAACCCGCGCCCCCAGCATTGGAAGCACAGAGTCTTAACCACTGGTCCACTAGGAAAGTCCTTGTTTCCTTCTCTTTTAAAGAATTTTTATTTATTTTTGGTACCCTGGGTCTTAGTTTCTGCGCCCAGGCCTTCTCCAGTTGCAGTGAGCGGAGGCTACTCTTCATTGCAGTGTGTGGGCTTCTCATTGCTTTGGCTTTTCTTGTTGTAAAGCACAGGCTCCAGATGCGTGGGCTTCAGTAGTTGCCACACTCAGATTTAGTATTTTCCGTGTGTGGCTCTAGGGTGTTTGGGCTTCAATAGCTGCAGCTTCTGGGCCCTAGAGCCCTTGGGCTTCAGTAGTTGTGGAGCATGGGCTTAATTGCTCTAAAGCATGTGGAATCTTCTGGGCCAGGGATCGAACCCATGTCCCATGCACTTCCACCAGGGAAGCTCTCTGCCTTTTTTAATTTACCTTTTTATTTTAAATAATTCCAAGTACATTATGAAGAAATTAATTTGTTATTAAACTTGCTCAATTTTCCAAAGTAATTTAATAAAGACATGAAATAATATATATTAAACATTAGTAAAATACCATATAGCAAGTAAATATGATACTAAAAGCAATATATTATCTAAAAATGTGTAATATAAAGGAAGTCAATCTACTCAGTATTAAAAAGCCACCTAAAAAAACCCCACCTCAATTCGACCTTTTAAATTTAGCATTGGTCAAATTATCCATCAAACATGATTACATCAAGGTATATACTTGGCACATGGGGTTGGCTGAGTTAATATTGAAAATGTTACTGTTCAGGGCATTTAGTTGACATAAGAATTATTCATTCGTTTTTTGATTCAGTAATATTTATTGCATTTACTACAAGTCAGATGCTGTTTTAGGCAGTGATGAGACAATCTTGTATGTATTAGGCAAAATTCTTCTTGTGATGAAACGTTCTAGAGGGGGAATGAGTAATTAAGTTGATTTTAGCAAATGAGATAATAAATGAAATCCTCTGTTTAAAAATAAGCAGACCCTCTCCAGTATGGCTTCCAGAAAACTCATATCCTAATAGAGAGTCTAGTCCTATATCCTGGAGGATCCTCCTTTCAGAACAAATTGGTGGCTCGTGTTTGATCTTAGGACATGAAATTCGTACGTAGCCATGTTTGTTTTAATATAAAAATAAAAGCGCATTTTTGGTTTATTTTCAAAACCAAGTATTTACATGCTGCAGATACATGTAGAAGATGGCTTCTGTCCATCCTGTGGCTTCTCATACACCCAGCACAGTGACTTGTGTTCTAGAGAGTTCTCAGCCTCCAGCGTGTCAGGCAGCAGAGATATCATTCTTGTGCAAACTAGAGATTGAAATCTTATTTAAAAATAAAACATGTATTACATTTTTTTTAACACAAAGAGATTTTAAATGCAAACATTAAATGGCTCAGCATCTTCTTGCTCAGAAATAGAAATTTAAAATGTTGAAAAAAAAGGGGAGGGGGACAGAACAAAATGAAAAAAATGACCCCCACCCAATTCCCCTCCAATTTAGCAATAGTTAAGAAGGGTTTTTTTTGTAATCCCTTTAGAAAAAAGTGTTTTTTATTCTTATCTGTGTGTGTGTGTACCTATACATTTACACAATAGGCATGTGGTATGATTACAATTAGGGAGTCCCTTGTGGCTCAGATGGTAAAGAGTCTGCCTGCAATGGGGGAGACCAGAGTTCAATCCCTGGGTTGGGAAGATTCCTTGAAGAAGGAAATGGCAACCCACTCCAGTATTCTTGCCCGGAAAATTCCATGGATGGAGGAGCCTGGTGGGCTACAGTCCATGGGGGTCGCGAAGAGTCCGGACACGACTGAGCGACTTCACCTCATGATTACAATAAGAAATACGTAATACATGTTCCTGGCACAGAGCTCCTAAAACACTTGGATTTCTTAAGTGAAGAGAGTTGGAAAGGTGTCTTTTGTTATGCTAACTAGGAGACTTCTGGAAAACCCCTAGTTAACCTGAGACTGGTTGCCAGAGGATCAGAGATGAGAAGGTTGGACCTCTTGGGGTGGGGAGTGGGGCTGGAGTTCAGTCATTGAACTCGCCAGTCGATTCAGGCACTGATGAATCGGTTCATTGAACTATTTGGTTCAGTCACCAAGGCCAATGTTTAAATCAATCATGCTTTGTAACGGAGCCTCCATAGAAAACTAAAGGATGGGTTCTGAGAGCTTCTGAGTTGGTGAGCACGGGACATGAAGAGAGAGGAGTGTGATCAGAGGGCATGGCAGCTCCCTGTCCCCATACCTTGCACTCTGGCTGTTCCTGAGTTATGGTCTTTTATGATATAAAATAATTCTATAATATAATATAAAGCAGTAATGTAGTGAGTAAGTTGATTTCCTGAGTTTTGTGAGCTGCAAAAATAGACTGGACTGGTCATGGAAAGCTCTGATTTAAAACCAGTTGGTCAGAAGCACAGGTGACAACCTTGACTTTTGATTAACATCTGAAATGGGGACAGTCTTACGGTCCTAAATCCTTAACCTGGGGAATCTGATGCTATTTCCAGGTAGATTGTGACAGAACTGAGTTGAATTGTAGGATGCTGTGGCAGCAAGCATGGGGACACTCAGGCCACCTAGAAGTGTGGATGTATGTGTGTTGGAGGAAGTAACTGGAAGCTTCTTGGAGTGACAGTGCCTAAGCTGAGTCACTAAGATAAATGGGAGTTCCCAGGGTCGAGGAAGGCAGAAAGGCATTCCAGGCCAAAGAGCAAAGAGGTAAGAAACAGCATGAGTGCAGGGAATCACAGGTGGTTTGGTGCTGTCAGAATATAAATTTTGAAGCATTAATGAGATGGATGGAGACATGTTCATGGAGGGCTTTGCACTTCATGCTGAGGAACTGGGAATTCCCCTTTAAGTCAAGGGATATGCATGTCTTTATATATCAATTAAAAGCTCTCTATTTACCTGAAACCTTAGTCAGCTGTATCACCAATGGTTATCAGAGCCCACTGCATGGTGAATGATTTCAAATCCATCATCACTGTCAGGAAAACAGCTAAGAAGAAGATGGCCTGCAGCATCTTTGGATACCTAAGATATCTCATCACTGTCATCACCATCATTTTATAAAATGTAGGAATATAGTCAGTCCATGTAAAATATATTGCTTGGGTTTGGGTTAAAAGAACAGGATGAAGTGGTAGTATGGCAATTTGATCTGATGAGTCATAGTTGATACCTATTTTACTTTGACTTCTGAGTCTTTTTCCTTCTGATGTTCCATGTGTTTTTTGTAAAGCTGGAGAAAAACCATTAGTGATCCTAGTATAATATTGGCAAAAGGCACTGAAAAGAAAAAATTTGAAAGAAGAGGAATCCAAATGAGAATACCTCATTCATTTATTAAAAATAGAAATTGGTTCTAAGCATAAGATAGAGTCTAGAAATAAACATTGTGGGAAAGGTGCATTTTTTTAGAAAGGAAGGCAGAGTTCCCTATTGATCTCCCCACAACTCATTTGTTTTTCACTTTCACTTATTTTTCTCCACACATAAAACTTTTTCCTGAATCATCCATAGTGGGATTCCAGGAAGCTGCATTGAGTATGTTACTATAGTTTACCTTTGTCATCTGTGATGTTTTATTTAGCCGAATCTTTTTTTTCCTCCGCTCCCTGTATAACACAGAAGACCATATGCCATTGTCCCTGCCAGGGAGCAGAGGTTTCCCTGGTCTGTAGCTGTGCCTGTGTTGATGCCACAGAGGAGCAGTGGTCCAGTGCCATCTTTTATTGATAAGGCCAGCAAAGGAGAAATCTAATGAAATTATCAAAGCTTTGAATTAATTATGAGCTTGAACAGGAGCGTTAAGCTCTCTGGACCCAAGGATCTCATTACCCATGCACTCTCATTGCATTCTCTTATGGAGCAGAAGGCATTTTCAGCTACATCTCTTAGCTTGGCTTTGGACCTTATTCAAACTTGGCTAAACTGACATCCTCTTCTTACTACAATGTGGCTGCTAATGTCCGTGATGATTAATTTAATTCTGCTCTGGATCTACAGGAGATGTCAATGGGCTTTCTCTACCCCCTCCTTCTGCCTTTTATTATTTTTTCTTTCTCTCCTTTTCTCCCCCATCAAATTGGATATTATATGAGTTTTTTTCTTTTTGGAGTCACGTGAGAAGCTTTCAGAATTCAGGTATAGCTTCATGGAATATAGTGATTTATTTAAAGCTAAGAACTTTAGTGTATCTACTATGTATTCCCGGGATATGTAGGTAAGCAGAAAGTCAAATATTTCTTCTTCAAATTTTGAACACCAAATGGAAGTTTTTCTTGCTTGTTTCTACTTTAGAATTAATGGTGTAGCGATAACTTCCATGGGCTTAACTACTGTTCACATTTCTAATGTGTGTTGTATGAGAACTGCAGATCTCACTTTGTGAGTGTAGCTCATAGGACGTATGCTTTCTGATGAAGAGTAGTTCATGTTTGTTTGCTTTACAATTCTGGTATTCCTTTTCCCAATAAGTTGAATTTTCTTTCTTTCTCTTCTTTCTTCCTTCCTTTCTTTGATTTTGCTTCTTTTTTTTTTTTTCTTTCTTTTTTTGGGTGAATAAATCAACCTGTGACTGTTTTAAGTCTAAAGTAGCAAAATCAATAACAGTAAGGCTTTGATTTGCTATTGGTGATGGTTCTTTAGTACTTGTCATATAGGTTCAAAGCATCTCATGGCAAGCCTTTTTTGCTTGCTTTTGAGACCCATTATTTATGAATTCCTAAGCTGTAGTTCATCCATCTCAGTAAATGACAAGCCATTGGCAATTATTGTAAGCAGTGACTAACTTTGCTTTACAGAGTCAGTGTTTTAAGGTTTTGAATATTGAGGGGGTGGGAGAATGATAGTTTTTGCTTTTCCTTTTCCTATTTACTTTCAGTGAGTTTTTCCCCCATTTATTTTCTCTATAGGCAGCTGCAATATTTAATTCAGCCTTTGGAAGTTTTTTGGTAAGTAAACATGATTTAATTTGTCTTTTATAACTTTTATTGTGATGTTTATATGAAAGGTTTAGTGAAAATTGGACATTTTTTTTTATTATTTGGTTAAATATAAAAGTTCTTGAATCCTGTCATGCATCATTCTCCACTGTAAAGAAAATTAGTTAATAAATAAAAGAAATGTTCTCTTACAATATAATGTGGAGTTTTGGGTTTAATATTCCATTTAATGGATTCAAGGAATCAATTAAAACACTATGTGTCTCCTTATAGAGGTTTTGTCAATATATTGATCATTTAATGAGGTCTTTTAGATTATTATTATTTTGTATCAGTGGAACTGAGGATTTTGAAAAGGAAGCATGATCCAGCTGGTCAGAAAGGGAATGCTAATTTACTTGTGGACATGTCATTTATTTTGTACATTTCACTGTCAAAGAAGCTACTGTCTTACATACCTCTGAGAAATCTATGTGAAAATTTGAAATGAGGAAATAACTAATGAATAATTTGCAAGAAAATACAGTATTTTTGACATGTGAACTATACATTGTATATAAAAAGATTAAAATAGTTCATTTTTCATAAGTAGAAATATTGTAATTATAAGGACAACTCTGTTGTAGCATTTTTTAATCATTATCTCTGAAGCAAATGATATAACAAAGATTTTGTTTGTGTAATGGAAGACTGAGAAAGAAACTGAGTTTTCTGTCAGTTGAGGGTTTTATTTATAACCTCCCTAAAACTTTGCTCAAAATTCATGAAAACAAATTAGAATATTGTATTTTTAGATATATAGCTCATTAATAGGTATGTAGTACAGTGATTTACAAAGAATTGAGCGCGAAGTCAGTGAGGTATATATAAGCTAGTTCATGAGTCTAAGTAAAATATCAATTACCTCTGTTTAAAATGTTCTTTATGTCACTTGTTATTTTATGTTTTTAAATGTAGTTGAAGCTTTAAAACATATTGTTACACGGTGTTAATTCTGCACAGTGCTGTATAACTTGTAATGTCCCAATGTTACAGAGCTTTTAGTGATGGACCTGCAAAATAGATGCTTAGATTCTATCTTATTATTAAAGAAATAGTAATGTTATTCTCCATGGTGTATTCTTATTATTGGGTTTTAGAAGAGAGGTAATAGAGTCCACTTAATGAAAATGATCTTTGGAGCCTCTTATTTTAGACTCAGTAATATTTTTTAGTCATTATTTCACGTATCCAAGTATTATTTTCTAAATGTTGTCACAGTTGATAACATACTGTCTGTAAGATATGACCTTGTTGGAAGCCAGTTTTTTTTTTTAATATGGTTGGATTCATATCTATCCACTATCAAAACAGGGTTTCTTACACTGGATCTCTTACTCTTTCAAATGCCTAGTGTAAGTGAGAAAATAACTGAGGCAATTGTCTGAGTAACTAAAGCAAAATACAGTCCCTCAGTTGGAGGACAAGCTCACTAAGTACAGTCTGAGCTGTGCGTTGACTGTATGAACAATAACTATATCATGATATTTGTTCTGCCAGGTCGAATTCTTTCATAAAATCCAGTGAAGTCAAACTGGTTCTAGGGATTCTTTTGGATTTCTGTTATGCTCTTTCATTTTTTAAAAGTCATGCATTCTCACCCCTTAGTCTTTTGCTCTTTTTCGTCTCTTCACCTTTTTACGTTAATGAGTCAATCAGAAGTATTCGTTGATCTCTTACACACAGAGGTAGTTTTCTGATAACTGTAGAGTTGCAAAAAAATATGACATCATCCCACTCTTCTATGGCAGTAACACAGAATAATACAAAAAGCTAAGAAATCAAACAAAAGATGTTACTAGATGATACATGATCATCAGATATGGACTCTGGGTTGAAAGGTTGGACAGAAACAGTTTTGCTGTTGGACCTTGAAATGTGATAGGACTTAGCTAGTAAAAAAGAAAGGAGAGGAAAAGGTGTGAGCAGTGGCAGAGAGGCAGAAGTGATTCCATTTTTTTCCTCCCAGTCCTTTCTCCTTTCCAAAGCTGAAACTTACCAGAAGGGTTGAGAATAAGAGTTAGGATTGGAGATATTTTGTTCCAGTATCATCAGAGAAATCATTCTGTTTTCACTTTTTCTTCTCTGGTGGCTCAGATGGTAAAGCGTCTGCTTATGATGTGGGAGACCCGGGTTCGATCCCTGGGTCGGGAAGATCCCCTGGAGAAGGAAACGGCAATCCACTCCAGAATTCTTGCCTGGAAAATCCCATGGATGGAGGAGCCTGGTAGGCTGCAGTCCACGGGGTCACAAAGAGTCAGACACGACAGTGACTTCACTTTGACTTTTCAGTTACAACAAACCTTATGAACTATATGCAAGTCTGAACTAAATCAGTTAGAACTTCAATCAGTTAGTTAGAGTCAGCTTATTTACCTGAAAAAAAGATGATAGTGACTTGGACAAGATAAAAGTTTGTTTCTCTATTATGTAAAATTTGGAAAGAGGCTGTCCAAGTGTGGTATGGGAGCTTCATGGTCAGAAAGAGCTTTCTCCTCCAGGATACATAGCCTCATGGTCCAAGATAGCTGCTGGGGCTCCAGCCTGAATAGCAAGGGCCTTACCTTGGGAAAGCACGAAAGAGCTCTCCCCAAACCTAAGTCTGCTTTCTTTAAACAGCATTCCTAGAATTCCAACACCGTACTTGTAGTAATATCTTATTGTAGAACTTAGCCTTATGGTCATACCTAGCTACTGGAGAGGTTGGGACATGTGGCAATTTGCTAAGGGCTATAAATTGGATTTCTTTAACTCAGAAGAAAGAATGTACAAGAGACAGCTAGTCCTTTCTGCAAAAGAGCAGTGTACAAGTGCTTGTACACTTGTCAAGTGTTTCAATTAAGAGATTAAGCGCCATTGAATAACATGAGATGGCTTCAGGGAGAAGCTGGTGCTTGAGTTAGGCTTGGAAAAAGGATTTATTTCAGAGGAAGAAAATTCCAAACTATGGCCTTCATGTTTTATTTTGTTACTCCTAAAGGGTGGTATTTGTTAGGGTGTTTTTTAGAATATTTTCTTACATATGAAAAACATCCATCTATCCTTAAAATTTAGGATTATGGATAGTAGCATGGATTCTTGAGTCAGACGGTCTGGATTTTAAATGCTTTCTTGACTGAATACTATTCTAACCACAAAACCTTCCCTATGTATAAAATGAGGTAATGGTAAACTATATAGTTGAGGTAAGGATTAAATGGGATAATCTATATAAAATGCTTGAATGATGTAGTAGAAATAACTGGTCTAGGTTTTGTCCAAGTTCTAGCGTGGATTGTTGGTACATGACCATGGACATTCATAAAATGAAGAAACAGGTTATCCGTGACCAAGTCCTATAATTCTGAAATACTGATTCAGTGATTATTCTCTGGTTTTGAGTGACTATTTCTTTTGTATTTGCAACATAGAGTCTGAGAAGGCTGTTTCAGATTACATTAAAACTTTGAATGAAAGGCTTTTATAAGATGAATTCTTGAAGAAAGAACTCTTTGGGCATCCTTGTTCATTATTGTGTGTACATGCTTAGAAGCTCGTCATGTCTGACTCTTTGCTACCGTTTAGACTGTAGCCCACGAGGCTTCTCTATCCATGGGATTTTCCAGGCAAGAATACTGGAGAGGGCAGCCATTCCCTTCTCGAGGGCGTTTTCCCGACCCAGGGATTGAACTGGCATCTCCCGTGTCTCCTGCATTGCAGGCAGATTCTTTACCTACTGAGCCATCAGGGAAGCCCTTCAGACATCTAGATATACCAAATAAACTATGGTACATGTTTATTATAGCTAGTCTAATAATGTCCCAGGTCTAATTAAAACACTGTTTTTTAAAGAACTAATTGTTACAGAAAACTTTGTTTTTAAAATGTAGCTAGGCTGGTAATAACTAATGATAGATGAATTCAATTTACATAAATTTCAAACCAAGAGAATATTTTAAAACTGTGCCACAGAGGATTGCTTTAAGTTGAGAAGTTAATGTTATTATCTACTCCCCTCATTTAAATTGTTTGGTTTACAATAATTGTGGAGCATAATAAGTGTACTGAGATTTCCCTCTTGATGAGACTTTAATAAAATTTGATAGTTAACCACCCTGAATAATGAAAATGTTATGAAATTTTATATGTATATATGTAAATATATTTCTTTGTCAAGCCATGTATTTCAAGTCCAACCATTTCATATATTACTTCCTCATCAAAAGAAAGATGAAAAAAAAATAGATTTAGATATTGGCAACTTTTTGAAAAATTCCAGTTAAAGAATCATTTCTTTAAAAGAGTCAGCTGTGTGGAAACAAAAAGATCACATGATTTGTTAAACCGTTAGCATTTTTGGTTTGGAGGGTACTTTTAGTGTTTCCATGTCTTCAAGAATTAGAAGTTAAAGTTTAAAAGGAAAAAGTAGAAGTCCTTCTTTTTAGATCCCTCAGTCTATTTTATTATTTCTGGTAGCTCCTAATCTTAAAGGGAAACCCTGCTGCTGCTGCAGCTGCTGCTAACCCACTTCAGTCGTGTCCGACTCTGCGACCCCATAGATGGCAGCCCACCAGGCTCCCCTGTCCCTGGGATTCTCCAGGCAAGAACACTGGAGTGGGTTGCCATTTCCTTCTCCAATGCATGCATCATGCTAAGTCGCTTCAGTCGTGTCCGACTCTGTGTGACCCCATGGACAGCAGCCTACCAGGCTCCTCTGTCCACAGGATTCTCTAGGCAAGAATACTGGAGTGGGTTGCCATTTCCTTCTCCAAAGGGAAACCCTAGTGAGTAACAAAGTCAATATGCCAAACTGAGTTTCTAACAAGTATGTTATACAACATTATAGCAATTCATGGCAACATGAACGTAAGGAGTTCTGAAATGGCAGCAAAGAGTCCTAAGCAAAATTAAGTCACATTTGTGAATTGATAACACCTAGTCTAATAAAGATCTTTTAAGAAACACTATGTACTTTCTAAATCTCATATAAA